GACAACAACTATGCCTCGCTTAACATACGTCACGCACTCCGTTGCTCTTATTGGTTGTAGGTCTATCCAATTGAGTGCAGAGGCATTTTTTTTCCGTTCGAAACACGCCCCATAATCACAGCTCTATGGAGCAGCATCAGACTCATTCTGACTAGAATTGAGTAGGACTACGTCAGGCTAGAAAATTTAAGGTTGATGGGGAGAATCAAAACAGAGCCACTGCTCCTCAACACTGAAAGGAGTCAGTCAGTCATTGGGGTTTGATACCTCCTGGCTCTTTGGTTCTATCACACTTGGTGTTACATTTCTTGCTTGCAGATATTTATTTTATCAAACAAAATGGTAAAAAGAAAGGGCTGAATAGTTTGTTTGAAATATTTCGAACAAAAGAAAAAGATATTTTGGTCAAAAGTTTTCTGTTGGAGATAACCCTGCTAACTGCATTGAAACATTGCTTTTTCAGGATTCTCTCTTATTGGATAAGGATGTAGTGACAACAAACCCAGTGTTGATAGTGACATTGACTTTACAGTAATTTTTTTGACATTGAGCAGGCATGGAGCGACAGTGGAGAGAAATTGTTAAAACTCACTTTAAACTGGAAAAACCCTCCAGCAGAATCAGGCTCAGTGTGTATTAGGGCTGGGCAACTAATTGTATGTAGAATATGATTCATAACTGCAATTTTACAAAAAGGAATTTTCACATCAAAGAGGTGCCCTTAAATTGACTTTCAGACTCCGGTCCTTAAGGAGGCAGTAATACACCTAAAGAACATTTGGTATCACACAGTTGGCCAAATTTTAGTTGCTGTAAATCTTCAAGATCACGATCACTGACTGATAGCTAGAAGTAACACATTTTCACACAGCAGTAACTGTAAATTTCTGCAGAATTGGACTTTAAACAGGAAAGCTTTCAAGGTCATAACATAATAACCACAATTTTGGTTGGAAGAAAATGACAATTTAGATTCTTAGCAAAATCTTTTAGCATAAATCCAGTTATTATCAAAAAGAGCACTTAGATAATGCACCAGGGATATGTTCAAAAACACACAAACAAGTACATGTGCTTTTGAAATGGGGAAATATAGAAAGATAATTGTAGAATAGTAATGTAATATACTTTCTTTGCATTCTACAGAGAAAAAAGTCTTGCCCTTTCACAAAACAACTTGCAGTTTACTGCTTTGCTTTTCTGTCGTTGCATAATAAAAAAGCTGGTGCTTAAGTTCACAGGTCAAATTGAGGACTTTCCTTTTACATGAAAGGCAATGATCCAGTACTTGAGTCCAGTTTAGCCCTAGCTTGTCCAGGTAAGCAACAACAAGATAGATCTGTATTTCATTTGCCAATTATTCAATGTTCTGCTCTAGGTCATGCACTAAATTAGGACATGAGTAGACATTACTTTCACCACTGGTTTGTAAAAAAAACGTTTACAAAAAACTTGCTAAGGCATTTGCAGTCAAAGACTGGATGGGACCTCTTTGTTTCTGGGCCAGCATTATTAATTGTTCCACGTTCTGTGGAGCATATTGTATTTCATAGCTGCCAAATCTATAATTACTATTATGAGAAATCTGTCTCTGCTACATTGCCTACAGATTTTATGGGTCTCCCACTGCCCCTCTGTTCTGCTATAATACAATACATCACAATTTAGTTATGGTAGCTGCTCAGCTGAATGCAGAGAAGCACTAACACCAGTGGGATAAATACATTTATCATTTTCCTCAAATTATTCTCTTCTAATGCATTACAAGCATTTATAATTCTCTCGGAAATGGGATTTAATGCTCTTGCTTTACAGTCACTTCCAGTTGCATGGCAGTAAGTCACAATCAAGAAAGGTAGGAATGTAAGAAGCAAATGCTGCCTATTGATCTACATGGTGTAATTAAGACAAATTAGCTGGGGCTGGTTGAAAGAAAATACACAAGCACTTAATATGCACTACCAACTGAGCTGTAATTTATCTTAGACATTTAAAGTTCTTTTGAAATCACAAACCTGTTAGAAAAGGATGACTTATTTGTGCGTGTTAAGAAGCAGAGGTGGATTTACCATTAGGAAGAACTAGGAAGTTCATTGGGGCCCCATAAAACTCCCTTTACATGTACAGGGAGTTACATATTTGTGCACATTAATTATTTTCTTTATAAAAATACTTTTGTTAAAAGGCCATATTAAGTGTGTCTCGCCCCCCCCCCCTTCAGTGTCCACCACATTGATCAGTCCATTTGCTGCACATGTGCAAAAAGGTCCAAAAAACAGCGGCAAATCCTTTGAAAACAATCAGCGGGAAGAGCAGTGTTGCTAACTTAAGGCTTTTGTAGCTATATTTAGCGACTAAGCAATTGATACCCCTGTAGCGCTTTTATTACAAAAAGGCACTTAATGACAAATCTAGTGACTTTTTTCTGTTACTGACTTTCGTGACAACATATGAAAGCACCAAACTCTGCACTCCAGAGCAAGTAGATTCCTAACCCCTCCTCCTGCTCTGCTCTAACTTGTCTTCTGTCATGATTTATGCAGCTATAATTTCCTTTAAAAGAAAAAAAGGAGAACAGATACGCAGATCATGGCTTGTCTACAGTGAAA